AAACCTGCCTGGAACGCAGCATAAGTTATGCCACGAATGATTTTGAAGGCAAAAGTCCCGCTGATCTCATTGCTTTCGTTCAAAACTCTGTGTGAGACATGGGACAGCTGTACACATCGTCAGGTTATGCAGTGACTGTGTCCACTGCTTCTGTCGAGCAGACACTCTCTAAAGCGAATTAAAACTTATGCTAGAAATATGACGGGACTCGACTTTCAGCATTAGACTCGTTATTGTTGGAACTGAAACGCACAGATAACCTGTACAACAGAGTAATTTAAGTCTTCTTGAGGAAAGAAATAAGGATGGATTTTGTGTAAAAAATAATCAGTAGTCTTGGTGAGTATAATGCTTTTTTTCCCGTGGTGAATATGATTTTCTTCTTAATTTTTCTTTTAAATTTATGATCGAAACTTATTTTTTCCAAACATCCATACTATTGTAACGTCTGAAAAGGGACTATTGTAAACACTGAACGACAAGATAAGTGTTATAGTTATGTCTGTTCTGTATCTGTTTCCCTGAGTTTTCCCCGTCATTGTGTATTTGGTTCAGTCCTGTTCCCAGTTTTCCCGCTCCTTGTTAGTGTTCAGCTTATTCACCGGTGTTCTGATTTGCCCCAGCTGTGTCTTGTTCCCTCGTCCCGTCTGTGTATTTAATCCTGTCTGCTCTTTTGTTCTTGGTCAGTGATTGAATGTATGTTTGAATGTGCGTACCACGAGTATCTTGTCTGTTCTGAATCTGTATTAAAGTCTACTGCTGCGTTTAGATCCGACTTCAGCCTTTGCTTCCACGCAACTCGTAACAATAAGGGAGGCTCCGTTTCTGAACTTATAATCGGAACGCAAGAACAACTGTACACAAACGCACCAGCCGAACTCACGCGCTCGTTTCTCTCTACCGGCCTTTTCCAAACTCACCGCATTAACCCAATAACTGCCGGTGCAAAATAAAAACAACAATTATAGAGAGTCTTTGCGCTGCTACACTATTAAAAGTTATTAATTCAGGTAGGACAGAAGGCCTAGGTGTGAAATGCACGGCCCTCCACTGATATATATATATATATATATATATAAAGCAAATGTCCACCTCAAATTGTTGTTTCAGCAAGTTTAACTAAAGTAATGGAGTAATGGAAATGGAGTCATATTCCATCATGTTCCACAAAATTACAATTATAATAAATCAAACTTAATTATTTGTTCTGTGACTAGAGCTTTTAACATTCATTGCTGGGGGAAAACATTTGCTGTTAATGTAATCTAGTAGTAGTTCAAACTAATATCATTTATAGAATATGTAATGCAATCATCTCTGACATATGCTGTAAAGCTTCATTGGAAAACACTTCACTTAAAATATATGAATTTTTTATTGAATTGCAATTCTGCTTCCTTCAATTAAAATTCGAATTGTAATTCTAGATCCTGTTTTTGATATAAATTAAAATTCAATTAAAATTCAAGAAGTCAAATTCAGGAGTCATTCTCAATTCAATTCTCAATTGTGCACAAGCCTGCTTTGCAGTTTAAAGTAACTACAAATCTCACGTATATCAACAGGGTATCTTGCTTTATTATTATCTATTACAAATTTCTTAAATAACCAAACTAAGACAACATAAGGGCAGATCCTTTGAGCGCAGCTGATGATGCAGTGAAGTGACGCTCGAGTGATCAAGTATTCCAATGTATAAAAAAGCGGTAACGCTTTAGATTACAGCCCGGAAAGTACTGTGTAATTAAGAGGAATTTACAGTGTAACTTTATGTAATTATAGTGTACCTATAAAGGGAACAATATGTAAAGTTTGGGGAATAAAGGGGTAACAACCAGGAGAAATAAACAAATATTTATACTGTAAGTATTGTAGAACTAAGGGGTACTTATTCTACTATTATGATACAACAATCTTACATTTGGGAGCAATTTAGCGAGAACATACACTGCGTACCTTTTTGTAATAATTGTGTACCAAGGCAATACATACTGTATAGGCTTTTTAAAAACGATAAGGTACATATCTATGTATTCATAAAAAAATTTTTTTTTTTTTTTTTGATAGCAAAAGTGCAGATGTTTGGGCTAACATGTTTCAATGCAAGAAAAGCTAAGACTATAGCATTTTTTTTTATATACTGGGAAATATATCTGGTTTCATGTGGTTACAGGGTGGTGCTTGTATAATAAATAAAGGTTTCCGAGTCAGTGATATAAGATTGTGTAAGCATTTTTATTGTACTTACCCATTGTACTTACCCTGTAACTACATGGAACAAGAGGGTAACAAGCACCACTTTAATTTACAGCCCGCAATGTCACACTTACCCTGTAACTACATGGAACAAGAGGGTAACAAGCACCACTTTAATTTACAGCCCGCAATGTCACACTTACCCTGTAACTACATGGAACAAGAGGGTAACAAGCACCACTTTAATTTACAGCCCGCAATGTCACACTTACCCTGTAACTACATGGAACAAGAGGGTAACAAGCACTACTTTAATTTACAGCCCGCAATGTCACACTTACCCTGTAACTACATGGAACAAGGGGGTAACAAGTACCACTACATAAAACAAGAGAATCTTTCCCCAATATTTAAGCAAAAGTTGCAATAGTTTTCGTTTTCAGTGCACTTTTGTTAAAAAGATTACTTTATAAATGCACAGATATACCCTGCAATTTTTAAAAAGCCTACAGTATGTACTGGTTCACCATTATTTCAAAAAGGTATGTTCTTGCTAAATTGCTCCCAAATGTAAGACTGTTATATCATAAAAGTAGAATAAGTACCCCTTAGTTCTATAATACTTACAGTATAAATATTTTTATATGTTACCCCTTTATTCCCCAAACTTAAAATATTGTTCCCTTATACTTATATTGTATGTACGTTATAGGTACACTATAATTACGGAAGGTTACGCTGTAAAATCGCTTTAATTACGCAGTACTTTCCGGGCTGTAATCTAAAGCGTTACCAAAAAAGCTTTCCTTCATTTCCTCCGTCCTCCTTTTCTTCCCTCGCATCCTACAGGGGTGGAGCTGAGACGCGAGGGAAGGAAGCGAGGAGGCACAAATAAGAAAGGAGAAGCACCCCTGGTCTTTTAAACTCCAGGGCTGCGTTCAGCGCCGACAAAACGTTGCAGAGCGTTTTTTAAACCGAAACGGTGATGCGTTGAACGCACTGTTGTGATGACGCAAGAGTTGCAGCTACGGCAGCTGAGAAGGCTTTTTGTGTTCTTTGTGAAGAATTTTCGGAGCCTGATGAAGTCGGTATAAATATGTTTAATACTACAAAATATGCCCGATGTTACAGTTACTGCACTTGCCGCCCAGAACACAAGAGAACATCCCAATCGAGTGAAGGGATTTGTGGAAACTGAAATGGAAGCACATCTTACCTAATAAAGACTAAAACACATCTATTTAGCCTCACATTCTTGTTGTTCATAATGTTTTATTAATACCCTGTATTTTCTTTCTCATTTTTAGGAAAAGCACTTTACATGCATTGTTTATTTCTATACCAAATGTCACACACTTGCAATGAAGATAAAAATATAAACAACTACATCATTATGTTGATATCCTATATTTTTACAATAATACTTACGACAAACATGTCATCTGAAATCCTTAGTTGTTGCGTATCGAACACATTTGTAAATTACTTCCATTGTGCGAGTTCTCTTTAATACCGTGTGCTTTATATACATGTTGCTGCTGATTGGACTGCAGTTCTGACACGCCCACCAAACAAGAGAAAACGCATCTCTAACCCCGTTGCACACCGGCGCACGCCGTTTCCAGGAAACATGACGTTCAACCCGGAAACCGTAGCAAAACGTTGCGCACCGTTGTGATCTCGAACATGCCCCAGGACTCCTCAACAGAGCCAATCAGAGCAGCCGCTGACGAGCAGGTGATACACACCTGTTGAGTGACAGCAAGAAATGAGCACACAAGGGAAAAGTTTACAGAGAGAGAACAGACACCAACACATCTCACAGAGATAGACCAACGCTACTTTTGCGTCATCGAAGGGTAACGCCCCTTTTTGGGGGAAGACAAACGGACTCGCTCTAGATCTGCAAAGTTTCTTGATAGCAAAAATGGCACAAACATACACACTCTCTTTGCCGGCCGAGGACCGTGAGCGGTATTTAAAGAAGCTACTGGATACGGGGTTACAGAGGTGTCCCTTTGAAATGGTCGGAAACTGGATTAATGACCCCACGCAGTGGCCAAATATGGACTATTCAGACATCTAATGTTACCATTATCTCGTGGAATCACCAAGTAAGTAGCCTATTTTTTTGTCATTAACACACTCACAGTATGACATACTAGACGACGAGACCATGTCACTTGGATCATATTTAACTTGATTTAAGCTATTGACATAGCTTTGTTGTCGACTAGCTATACTAGTTAGAAAGACGAAGCTGCTTGCAGCTAGCGTTACGTGATTAGCTCTCACTAGGCACGCTACCTTGGCTGTAAACTGATTTTACTGTGGAAATAGTGTCAGGCTAGGACTAAAGTGGACTTGGCTGGTTTCTGCTTGTGTCTAGAAAGTGCTAGGACTTTGAAAGTTGTAAAAAGGTTTACAGTGTACGGCAAAATATGCATGGGACCAAAGTATGTATGTATGGGGCTGTCAAATTGGATTTTGTGACATTACGCTATCCTATCTACTGCCGTTCGTGTTGTTACATGTAGCCCAGAGCAGTGGTTGTCGAAAAGTCATATAGTGCTAGTGCTAATCTTAGGATAGAGCAGACACCACTATAGCCAGAAATGATAAACAATGTCACGGTTTGTGTCTGACAGGCCTGTACACATCGGAAGCAACGAAAAACAAAAGGTCCCTGGAGGCCCATAAGTTTTTCATCAGTGGCTGGGTCCAGGCTGTTTTACACATAAAAACAGACAAGTGCTTTGTTATTAAAAGCAGTGTTAAACCCTTCTTGGAGGGTGACTAACAAGCCCCACAACACCTGAGTAGCTGTGGAAAATAGTGGCAAAGTTAGAGCAGCTCACTGCGACTGCATGGCAGGGTAAGAGAGCCGTACTGTAGTGGTTGAGTTGTGCTCACGGTTTCGTGGAATTGACACTTCCTTTTTTTTACCCAAGACTAGGGGAAAGCTGTTCCCATGTGGGTGCAGTTCTGTATAAATTGGAAGCCTCAGTCCGCCTGGGCATCGCCACCACTGTAAGTACCAGTATAGCCTGCCAATGGAACGCTGTTTCTACAAAAAAAGTTGAGCCATCAGAAATCCCCTCAATAGATTTTGGAGGCAGAGGCAGTAGAGTCATAGGTAAGGTCAAAAGACCCATCCCCAAAGCCTCAGCAAGCCAACAGGCACACTTTTTACAAACGCTACACGCGACAGGTGAATGTCCTGTGGTGCTGAGTACTTTCAGTAAATATGCAGGCTCCACACCACACCACTCCTCGTGGTTTGAAACACTAACCTTTACCTAGGAAGAGGCAGGCAGAGTGGAGGCAGAGACTGTAATGCAGTAAGGCCTGGCGCAGGCACAGAGTAGGAAGAATCACCAGCTCGTTTGCTCACACGGTTCTTCACACTAATCAAGAGAAACCCTCAAACGCTGTAATCAGAACAATCATGTCAGAGGCTAAAAACATAAATAGTCCTTACCTTAAGTGGGGAAGAGACAATGAAAAACATGCCCTAGAGCAGTGTTTCCCAACCCTGTTCCTGGAGGCACACCAACACTACACATTTTCCAACTCTTCCTAATCGATCACACCTGAATCAACTCATCATTCAGCTCGTTAGTAGAGACTCCAAGACCAGAAATATATGGGTCAGAAAAGGGAGACATCCAAAATGTGCACTGTTGGTGTGCCTCAAGGAGCAGGGTTGGGAAACACTGCCCTAGAGACCTACAAATGTGCACTGGGCATTGGCCCAGTCACTGACCAATTATCTACCAACATATTGGTAACTGAAGATGTATGCAAAGTGCATGAAGGATTAAGAGTGGACAGATCAGGCTTTAGAATCAGCCATGAAAGACCATACTTTGGTGTATCATGTGATACCTGTGTGTCATGCGATTGTTGCGGCAAGGGTGTGGTGGAGGCAAAGTGTCCGTATAAGTGTGCAGGTCAGCAGTCAGTCAGCTGGACAGATGATGAGAACGGGCACCTTTCCACATTGTTTTCTTTGAAGCCCAACCATGCTTACTACAGTCAGGTACAGTTTACTCAGCAAAGGCAAAGCGATACACAAAGAACTCAGTAGCTGTCAACAGAATTGTGACATTATTTAACAAATACTGTAGGCACATTATAATAAAACTTCCTTTCCTCCTTCCTCCTTGCCAAAGGTTCAGCTGCAAATGTTTGTGTGTGGAGCACAGTGTGCAGATTTTGGGCAAAACACATCCACCCACGATTGGTGACAACAGTGCTACAAAGTGAGGTGAGAAAAAATCTTTAAATAATCTATAAAAAAAAAATATATAGATACTATTGAACATATTTTAGTATTGATTTAATAATACTTTGTGCCATGTTTACAAGTGCTGCACAAACATTTACAAGTTTGTCAACTGTTGCTTGCCCTTGGTTCTTGTCCCGTGCAGACTGAACCAGACAGCGAGGGAGTGGACCGTCAAGGATGTGAAAGCACCTTTCAGCACACCAATCACCCGCTCTGTAAGGACGACAACAACAAAAAAGGAGCGCTTTTCCAAATTGACTTTTAAAAAAAAACTGCATTACAATAATCTAGTTTTACTTACCAATATGAATCCGGATGTTTGACTTCCTACGAGACATTTCCACCTCTCTCCCAGGTAACTGCTTCATCCCTTTTGTGAATGATGGTGTTAGCAGCTCGACACAGAGGAGGGCAAAGTCATCCTGGAGTGTAAAACCCCCTGTCTGCCAATATCTAGAGATTAAAAAAATCCCCCATAATATTGCATTGTATCTACTTTGTCCATTTCTTGAAGTTAGAGTATGATTTATCTCTAATACAGGATACATAATAGCAATGACATCTTGCCTTTTATTTCAATATGGGATGTGAGAGTGTGTAAAGTCACAGTAGGTTTAGTTTGATAGGAAAGAAAATATCACAAAAAAGATTAGGACCTTTTAAAATAAATTATTTGTTTAATGTTTAATAAAGAGGATCAGTGAAATGAATGACCAACTAATCCTGTGCCTTTCAGTAATGTTTATGATGAAGCTGCTGATGTCAAAAGTTTCAATTATGACTAATTATTCGTATGGAGCCTGATTGATTTAGTTTCCCCCTAAACGTTAATTAATGCATTAACTATGAAACATGTACTAACATGTTTAAAGGCCCTTTCACACCGGACGCGTAACGGAAAAGCGAATAGTTCGCGTCAAAACCATTCACATCAGCCGCGACGCGAATATGTGACGTTCAGAGCTTCAACATTACAAAACTTTCGCGCCGACAGCTGAGAAAACACGGACACTTCATCATCATCATCATCATCATCCAGTGAAGAAGAGCTTTTCGTTTTCTTTATAAAGACAGAAAAGAAGGTTTTGTGTGCACCCAATCTTAAAGGGATAGTTCACTTTGAAATTAATTTTTGATATGTTTTAGCTTACCTCAAGGGCATCCAAGATGGAGGTGTCTTTGTTTCCACAGTAGTTTCAATTTTGATATTTTTAGGTCAAACCGTTCTTGTCTGTCAGTCATATAATGCAGGTCTATGGTCACCACCTCAAAGAGCAGCACAGGCTTTCCGGCGCTTGCGCAGACAGAGGCGCCGGCACCATCAGAGTACTTGGACAAGGCTGTGCGTTACAAGAGGTAAAAACTATATAAATACTGTTCGTTTTCTCACACAAACCGCTCATTTCGTGTCTTAGGCGATCAGTGTGTACTTACATTTACGAGTCATTAAATCATGTTTAATTTGGACTTCTCTGTGCTGCTCTTTGAGGTGGAGACCATAGACCTGCATTATATGACTGACAGACAAGAACGGTTTGACCTAAAAATATCAAAATTGAAACTACTGCGGAAACAAAGACCCCTCCATCTTGGATGCCCTTGAGGTAAGCTAAAACATACCAAAAATTAATTTCAAAGTGAACTATCCCTTTAAAGAACAGAGAGTCTGAAGGGGAGTATGCTAATCTTGTAAAGTAGCTAAAACTTTGCCACAAAAAACCGGCCAAAGTAAGGATTATGCATTAAACATTTGAATTGTTTATTAATAAAGTGTTTTCTGTCAGTTTTCGGTATGAGACGCGCTCCAGTTCACGCGCCGGCGCCTCCGTGTCCTAATGTCTAATATATTTGCTTCTTATTCCTATTAATCCAGGCAATTTGTTGATGAAACATGGATTAATATTAAGATACAATTTATACAAAACGAAATTCACTTTAAAGAAAGGCTTTCTACAAAACAAAATTATGTCTGACCCATTCCAAATGTTTTATATATATTGGGTACGATATACGTAATGTTTTACGATATATTGGGCATCTTATGATCCTTACTCATCTCATGCGGTTCCCTTTTCATATAGATCATCAACATAGATGAAATAAAAAAAATAGCATTATATTATTTAAACGTATGTATGAAACGTATGTTTGAGTTTTTTAACTTATAGGCCTATGTAAGCGTCACCCCGCTCCGCTTTATTTACGCACATGCTCTGATTCATGCATGCAAAAATAATATGAAACACACAACCATGAATGTTGAAAATATTCCAAATCAATTATTTCCCTCCTAGTCAAAAATATAATAAATCATCAGCAAACACTTCATTAACTCGCCGGAGACACCAACTATCCCAGCTATGTTATCCCATGCCTCGTTCTTTTGCTGGTAAGAAACACCGTCGTGTCATGAATGATAGCGTATGCGTGCGCTGAGATGTGGAATAGGCAATATAAAAATGCTGTCATTATAAAAGGTTTCTAGTTTCAATGTATTGCTTGTTTTTAGTTTACATTTCATGATGTGACACTTCTCTTCTCTCGCACTTAATGCTGCCACGTCAGAGCGGCCAAAGCGTCAACAAGCTTCGCCTTTGTTTCCCTGTATGTGATTGGCTGAAGCCTTTTCTGTCGCAGCAAAAGTAAAAAAAAATCGACATCGAAGTGAAAAAAATAAGTCGTTTTTTTTCCGCCACAGCACATTCGCGTTCGGTGTGGAAGCACTCATTACACACACAGCTGATCAAAACATAAAACTATCGCGCGAATTATTCGTGCGTCAAAATCGCGTCCAGTGTGAAAGGACCTTCAGCCTGCTGTTATTCATGCATGAATCATTATGACTCCCGTCGTAGTTAAGGAACTCTCTTCATGATTAGTTCATATCTTCACTAATCATAAGTTCATGTTGAAGTAACTATTGATTCAGGTATTAGTACATGATTATTCATGCCCTGTTATTGTAAAGTGTTACCCAAATTTGTAACCAATCGTGTTCCTGTGGCTATGGAACCAACAAAGGCAAGGTCCTGGATTTAATTCCTAGAAAACACATATTCCTTGCACACTGTAAACTGCTTTGGATAACCTGTAACCAACTGACAAAAACACACCAGTTCTCATGTCTTGTTTGTGTGCACTTCTGACGTTTAACGGTTAGATCAGAAGTGCTGTGTGTATTTTGTGGGTTTATCCTCATCACTGTACGTTTATAACTAACTGACTGCCACTGAATCAACAAACATCACGAAACAGTTTCACTTTCCAGAGACACGTCACAGCTTGTTTTCACTAGTGGTGTGTCTGTAAGGGAACGTGAATAGGACACATGTCTTCAGAAGACTTCCTCTCTCTGCATGATCTGCATGATGTGCCGGAAAGCACCAAACACACACACACACACCGCAGCTCAGTCCGACAGGTAGGAAAAACTGCAGCGCACAACAACTTCTGTTGCTTAACTCTTACTTTATAGGTACACTCGAAACATACCTGCAATAAACAAACAGAAAAATATATAGTGCAGCATTCATTTCACCTTAAATACAGATGTGAAGTTAAATGTGAATTGCAAATATTTGTTTATGATTATGGTAGTTGATTCTGTTGTTGCTATTTTCGTAGTTGAATTGTCTGATGAATTGTATTTCATAAAGTTTATTTCACCGTGGTTTTTCAACATCATGGATGTATCGTGACGTTTGCTCTTTGCAGTGGCAGCAGAAACTACACACACTCTCTCCTGTGCCAACAAGAAATAAACCGACTCTAAGCGAAGAGAAGAATAAATCAGCAGATTTGCATACTTGTTTAACCCGAGTTCCTCTATTCGCTCAACATGTGCTCTCAGTTGAACAGCACACACAGCTTTATTAATCCTGATTCTAATGACCAAAATGTTATACAAAAAATTCTTGAAATTACTATCAAATCCAAATTTAAGGCTGGCAGATCCATTAACTGGAAAAAATAAAAGTATCAAAATATGAGACATGAGCACACAAAGAGGTACAGTTTGAGGACAGAAATACACCCGCGTTCGTCACACACACACACACACTTCTTTCAGGCTCGTACAGGAAGGGAGGTGACGTTTGTGAAACCTTATATGAACGTTATAATATAGTAGCCTGTATTGAGTCACTCTTGAAAGCCACTCAAAAATGTCTGAATGTTAATGCAATAGATATGAAAATATCAAAGTATCAAAAGTGCATCTGCTGTAGTTCATCCACTGTCGTTTGTCAATCATTTTGCTTAATCTTTTGCTTGAAAAGTATATTTGTGCCATATGTGTGTGTGCCATGTGTGTGTGTTGCAGTTTATCAGCAATTACTCAGTAAAATGAATTGGAAGAAATGTCAAAGTTGTTTAATTTTTTTTCCACAGTGATTTTCTGCTGTCTATAGTAAATGAAATCAAAGTTTGACCATGACATCCATGAATGCGTCGTGTCCGAACTCGTGTTCAGCTAATATGTCTGACTGGAACAGAGCCATGGACAAGCTCTACACCTACTTCTACCTGACCATCTTCATCCCGGGCCTGCTGAGCAACACCCTGGCTCTGTGGGTGCTGTGTCGATTCATGAGGTCAGCGCTTAGCATTATTTATACCTTCATAAAGCCGGATGCACACTGTACTGTTTTGGCCATGATTTGGCCGTCTGAGACTAATTTTCTGAATGCTAAAAGATTCCTTTGATCCATCTGCAAAAATCTGAAGTCTTTGATCGCTAGTTTGAAATGTTGGCCGATTACTGACCATTGCAATGAGATCCTGGCCGTGTCCGAGGTTTTGGGTGACAACCTATGACAAATCAAAATCTAATAGCAGCGCAGAAACTGATGATGCAATAAGTGAGACAACAACAAACCACCAATTGTTCCCACACAGGTTTTCGTTTTTATCCAGTTCTCTTTTCAAGAAAAGCCATGATCAAAATAGTACTTTGTACAGTGTGCATCTGTTGGAGAACCAAGCTGGTTTTAGCAATTAGCTTTTCAGCATGATGACAGGCCATCTGTAACCATTTTAATGCTGGTAATATAAAAAACTGTTTGATATGTTAAAGGATTAGTTCACTTCAGAATAAAAATTTCCTGATAATTTACTCTCCCGCACGTCATCCAAGGTGTTCATGTTTTACTTTCTTCAGTGGAAAAGAAATGAAGGTTTTTGAGGAACACACTCCAGGGTTTCTCCATATAGTGACTTCAATGGGGTCCAACGGGTCGAAGGTCCAGATGTGAGTTTCAGTGCAGCTTCAAAGTCTCGACACGATCCAGCCGAGGAATAAGAGTCTGATCTAGACAAACCAGCGGACATTTATAACAAAATAAACATTTATATACATTTTAACCACAGATGCTCATCTTGCACGAGCTGTGATGCGACACACATTACGTAATCCAACGCTATCTCACGAACAATTTGTACAAATTCATACAATTTGTCTAAACTCCAGTGATGGATATGTTTAGGGGCCAGGGGTAGGTAATTCGAATTGGGCAAATCGTAAAATATGTTCGATTTAGCAAAAATCGTACAAGTGAGGTCGTATGAATTCGTACGATTTAGCCACCTCGTTAAATACGTACGAATTGCCGTGAGATCGGGTTGCGTAATCATGTTGAAAGGTCACGTGATAAGTAGGCGAAAGTACCGATCCAGTGTTTACAAAGCATACGTGCAAAGACTAAATCAAATGCCCTTTACAAACTAAAAGGTAAAACAACGATGTCGGACGATTTTGAAGTTGGAAGAGAAAATTAGATGGGAGTTTCTGCCTGCGTCCTGCGTGACCTTTCTACGTAATGTGATGTAATGTCATCACAGCTAGTGCAAGAAGTATATAAATGTTTATTTTGTTATAAAATGTCCGCTGGTTTGTCTAGATAAGACTCTTATTCCTCGGCTGGGATTGTGTCGAGACTTTGAAGCTAGTGACTTCAATGGGGTCCAACGGGTCGAAGGTCCAGATGTGTTTCAGTGCACTCAAAAAAATGATATGTTGGTTTAATGAACTTTTTTATGATAACAGGTTCCACGTAACTGAGTTACGTTAAACAAACATAATTTGTTCATGTAACTTCAACATCATGGAATAAGTCATTTTAAGCGACCCAATTAAGCTCTGAGCAGAGTGTTAAATGAACACTGAAGCAGTGTTAAAGTTGATGAGATAATTAAGTGAATAATTGAGGGATGATCGAGCATTATTGAAGACACCTGATGGTAACAAGCAGAATCACTGAAGGAGAATACCAGAATGTTTGAGTCACCATTATGCTGATCAGTGTGTGTTTTAGTTGGGCTCTTGACCCTCACATCATTAACTTTATATTTTGTCTGGCTGCTGTACATGAGTTATAACAGCCAGATAAACACATAGAAAAGGTGATCTAATGGTGTTGGTTATGTTTTAACATAATCAATATTTCACAATCATTCGACCTGAATCACTGAACTCATATAGAAACCCAATTTCTGAGTTAAGTTTACCATATGGGTTATAGCAGCTCTGTCATTGTAGAGCACATCAATTTGAGCCTTTTCAGTGAAATCCAAATGATCAAATCAATAAAAATAAAGTAACTTCTAAAAAAAAAGATATATATATGTAGGCACACACAGGCATCAAGATTTAGCGTATGAATCTCAGCAATGGTGACATACAGATCACCTCTTAACATAAGTTCATTATTTATTTATGCACAAATGCATGATGGGAGCCATGAATCAGTTTTGATTGGTGGCACCCAGAATGCACTGCAACATGCTTTATAATTGTCACCATTGTTGAGATTCACAGGCTGATTCTTGTTGTCTGTGTGTGCCTACATAAAATATTGTTTTGAAATGTCTTTATTTTTTATTGATTTGATCATTTTGATTTCATTGAAAAGGCAAAAAATGGTATGTGCTACAATGACAGTGCTGCTATATTCCATAAATTAAACTTCACTCAGAAATTGGGTTCTATATGAGTTCAGTGATTCAGGTAAAATGATTGTGAAACAATGATTATGTTAAACATAACCAACACCATCAGATCATCTTTTCTATGTTTTCATCTGGCTGATATAACTCATGTACAGCAGCCAAACAAAATCTAAAGTTAATGATGTGACGGTCAAGAGCCCAACTAAAACACACACTGATCACCATAATGGTTACTTGCAAATTCCGGTTTTCTCCTTCAGTGATTCTGCTTGTTACCATCAGGTGTCTTCAATAATGATCAATCATCCCTCAAATATTCACTTAATTATCTCATTAACTTTAACATTGCTTCAGTGTTCATCGCTTAAAATTACTTAATTCCATTATGTTGAAGTTACATCAACAAACTATGTTTGTTTAACGTAACCCAGTTATGTGGAACCTGTTGACATAAAAAAAAAAATTAAAGCCAACATATCATTTTTTTTAGTGTATATGGAGAAACATCCTGGAATGTTTTCCTCAAAAACCTTCATTTCTTTTCCACTGAAGAAAGAAAGACATGAACATCTTGGATGACGTGCGGGAGAGTAAACTATCAGGAAATTTTCATTCTGAAGTCAACTAATCCTTTATATCAGAAATTTCTCCATTAAGAAAGACCTTCCTTGTCAGTTCAACGTAATTGTGATAGTACTGATCAAGCCTAATCAAGGCACTTGTTTTTCTTAGCTGTATTTCATGAGGTCAGTTTAGAGTTGTTTGTGTCTTCTAATGCCACGGATTCTCTTCGATTCACAGCAAAAAGACGAAGGCCATCATCTTCATGATCAACCTGACCATAGCCGACCTGGCTCACGTGCTGTCGCTGCCACTTCGGATTCACTACTACATCCAAGGAAAATGGCCTTTCGGCAGTGTGCTGTGTATGCTGTGCTTTTACCTGAAATACCTTAACATGTACGCTAGCATTGTGTTCCTGGTGTGCATCAGCATCCAGCGCTGTGCTTTCCTCATGCGCCCGTTCCAGGCCAAGCAATGGAAGTCCCGCTACGACGTGTGCATCAGCATCGCAGTGTGGATTGTGGTGGGCCTCTGCTGTTCACCCTTCATTTTAATGAGGAAAGCTTCTGGAAATGAAACAAGCGAATGTTTCAAAGATCTCCCAATGCGAAAACTGGATTTCCGCTTAGCCATTTCCATGATGGCCGCTGCTGAAGTCTTTGGATTTATCGGTCCATTAATCGTCATCATCTTCTGTACTTGCTTGATAGTGAACTCTTTGCGAAAGCGGACCCACAATGAACAGTCCACTGGTAACACGCGGAAGGCCTTGCGCATGGTTAGGGTGTGCACAGGGGTCTTCCTCTTCTGCTTCGCCCCCTACCACATCAACTTCCTGTTTTATCTGATGGTAACCCAGTGCATTATAACAAACTGTGAGGTGAGTCAGGCCGTCAAACAGTTTCACCCGATCTCTCTGTGCATGGCGAGCCTTAACTGCTGCCTCAACCCGCTCATCTACTACTTCCTAACCACTGAGTTCAAGCAGCAGCTGTCGAGCGGCAGCTCGGTGCTCAGGGGCCGTCTGATGAGCATGGAGAGCACCAGCTCATACAGGGAATGAGTACATCAGCAATCAGGGAAAACATAAAACCAGCAGTTCTGTTCAAAATATGTACATTTAGTGTAGGGCTGCAACAAGCAACTACTCAGTATTTTTACACATCATGGCTAAATCTTGCCTTTACAGTTTTTTACAATTGCTAAGACACATTTCTTAAAACCTTCACCCATTTTCTCACAACATTAAAGTCCCACTGAAGTGCCGTGGAACGAGCAGCTTTGTTTGATGCGTTGACGTAATCTCCACTGAAACAGGACGCTGAGGCGGGACATATGGAATGGCTCCTCCCCCTTTTCTAACAGCCAATAGTGTTTAGTTTACCTCACAGACTGACGGCACCATGGAAGCGCTGATGAAACGCTGGATTCAATAGTAGAGGATTCATTCATTTAATTCTTAGCCAGCGTACAGTTGGAAAACGGAATAAAACTCGAGCGTTTGAGCAAACGAACACACACTCTAACCCATATTGCTCTGCGACGCGTCAACGGTCGCTTCGGCCAGGTGGTGTTTATAGCACAGGGGGCGGAGCTTTATATTCTAGAGAGCATTTGATTGGACAGAAAAATTTTGTAATTGTTTTGGAACACACCCGCTTATTCAAAACCTGAAGGCGTTTTTGAGTTTTTGAGTTTAGGGCTTTCTTTGTCCATTTGGGCTTTTGCAGTTGGACTACTGTATTTTTACAGTATGCAACTGCTGAATATACAGACATTCAATAGTATACAGTCAAAATCGAGGGAGCGAGGGGCTGTCCATGTAAACTTCCCTCGTCCACTTCACTGGAACGCACTTCAAAATGGCGGCAGGGATTCCCCCGAGGGGAAGTTCTTAGGGAAGTTGGCAAGTGCGTGTCTAAAAGTGGACTGGAACGCAGCCAGAGTTTGCCCATGCCTCCTCCTCTTCCTCTCAGGTAGTTCACCTCATCATCCAGTGCATCTGTGCACTCTGAGATCTGGCTTATATTATGTACAGTCTGGTCACATCATTAGAAATAAGTGTGAACATTTTTGAGCTGTTGCATGTAAGCGACAACTGTGTTGTGTTTAACTTTTGCCACCTGTGTTTTATGACACATTTGCATCACAGTTTGAAATGTGTTTTAGTGAGTGAGAGTGTGTTTACAGTTTTGCAAAAAAAAAAAAAAAAAAATGCATGAGATTTGCAAATGGATTCCAACTGCATGAACTTGTTTAATGTTTTGCAGAAAGAGTGATTTATTCGACAAATGGCTTTAGGCCTGAAGAATACTGAAGTATTTATTATGTGCTAAATATTACTTTTTTTACTTTTCTAAAAATTATTCAAAATATAAAGTTTACAACATTTCATTGAATAGTTGCAAACGCTCTATGAAGTATTTGAAGTTTAATAGTGACAGGCATTAAAGACAGATTAATTTGAGGAAGTTATGGAACAGAAAATAACTTTCTATTGACTGCATGACAGAGACATGTTTATATAATGCCGACATCAAGTTCTAACCGGATGAACTGATAATGTACTGACAAAAGCACTGATAGGAGTGAAAATGCTAAACTAAACTAAGTATTCCATTTAGTTTATCTGAAACTGACTGAGCCAACTAATCATTTCAATTTTAAACACCAGGGCCCGTATTCATAAAGATTCTAAGAATCCTCTCAGACAACTCTTAATTTAGCTTAAAAACTTTTACGTAGGAGTCTTAGCTTAAGAGCGATTCGGGACCGATCTGAGAGCAACTCTGAGTAAGGAAAAGACAACAACTCTCATCTTAGTGAGGAGGCGGGGCTGACCCCGTTGCTATGTGTGACACAATCTTTTGAAGACTGTGATTGGTTGGTGGTCCAAGAAGGAAAAAAAAGAGCCATTTTAAGTATAGAGTTCACTCACACACACACACACACACACACACACACACACACACACGCACATTATATTTATGTATATAAATCCTTTTTTTTACCTTGCTGTTAATTTCCTAAGGTATTTGATTGGCTTAGAATGATAAAAATTGTTCTACTCTTTCCAATTACACTGATTGCTGTCTATTTAAGTGGTGGTTTGAATGTTCGTTTTACAGTTTTTTACGATTGCCATGACAGATTTTTCAATACTTTTAACAATTTTCCAAAACTCTTAACACAGTTATCACTACATCCGTCTGTGTAAGCTATACTATTAACGCATTTCTTGTTGCTTTAACACAAAATGCATTCAATTAACACAAATTTAAAATGCTTGAACTTCTTTTACACACAAGCTCAAACAAGACCAAAACAATGGATTTTTACTGCCAAATTTACCAGTGCTTTAACACTGTATGTCAGAACATATAACACCATGTTCTAAACCTAACCTTACAGGCTAACGTCAAGGTAAACAGCTGTTTATATTGTGAATTGAAACAGAAATATATCCCCTGTATTTTATTCTATTGTTACAGCTGATTGAATTATGCAAATATAAAAATCACAGCTGATTTCTAGGAAACACACTCAGGGGTTGAGGTTCTTTCAATTGCATGACCATATGGTATACAGTAAAAGAGGACCTTTTTGGCAGATCTTTTGTGGAAAGAGAACAATATAGAGCAAAAAAAAAAAAAAAACTAACAAAAAAAAAAGTCTGCACTAGGTAGAGGAAGATGTGTACCAGGACAAGGGAGAGGAGTTAGAATGAGTGGTGGCGCTCAAAGAAGAGACAGAGCTAGGGTAATGTAATAAGACCTGCACTTGTGCCAGAGGTAGAAAGGGGACAGGTGAGAGACCACTTGCCAATATACGTGATCACATGGGACAATGTGGCATTCCACCATTCCCGTGCAGTCACAGCATTGACGCCCATCCTAGGATGATGTCCCTTTTCCTTGCCCCTTTCTCCCCTTTCCTCATCCCCATTGAGGAGTTTTTCTCATCGTGGAGATGGAAGGTTTTTGACCATCATCCACAGGACCAAATGTCCCTCCTGGATGCAATGGTTGCTGCATGCCAAGACATCACAGCTGAACACCTCCAGGGGTGGATAAGGCATGCCAAAAGATTATTCCCACAATGCCTTGCCAGAGAAGATATCAGGTGTGATGTGGATGAGAACATGTGGCCAAATGCAGAAAACCAGGCAGATTAGAAGATGACTCTTTTTCTTCTTTTTTTTTATTCTTTTTGTGCTTTTTCTGTTCGTATATTTAGTATTTTCACATATAAATGGCAGCTATATTGCATATTTGTTATATTTCAGTAATGTTCTTTTGCAAATAAAGTCTTTACTGTATTGCAGCAATTCTGTCTCTGTCTTTTTTTTTTCATAAACTGTACATTCTATAAAGCTACTCTGAGATGGTCATCATTTTTTGTATTGAATTTCTGCAGCAAAAGAAACAAAATGCATGCATTTACTAAACCCAACAAAACAAAAATGTAGAGAGGCTTCAAAAGAAACTACAGAACACAATCTATGATCAATACAATATACTGTCTATTGTATAAGGGCAGACCTGACACATAAAATAATGCAGTTTCTGTAATTTCAGCTGATGATAGTGTTTTTTTTGTCATTGTGTTATGATTGACTAAATGTTCCTGTTGGAAGAGAACATGCGTTAGTGTTTTGAATAATTATTTGATTTTGAGACATGTTTGCAGTGTTTTGTTAGACATAGTGTATTGTGTGTAAGGATTCAGGGCGGATCTAATCCGTGGGGAATTTGCATATCATAATTAATAATTGGTAATTAATAATTATTCATACATGTTTGGATTAGATCTGTCTTACATGTTAATAAATCTCCCGATAAGGGAGGATCGGTCATTCTACCTGCATGCGTGCATGTGAATCCCGGAAATTAACCACAAGTTGCTTGCAGTTAATTACACGGGCCATGTTTCACACACAGGTAAAATGAATTAGCTCAATTGTCAGGATAATATTTGTGGGATCCACAATATCATCTTACTTTATAGGATGTCAGGAAACGCAATTCTCTGGCCAGAAGAATTGGGTTTCCCGCCCATCAACACATAACGTTAACGTTACTCTTTAAAGTATCTGTAATTCGTAAAGCTTGTAGCATTTAGACCTTTGGCACTTAAGTGACTTGAAATTGAGCAAAAAGACAGCACATCAATCTAATGAATATATAATTAATTTAATAGAGGCATGACTACTTATGTATTTACTACGGTTACATGGGATATATGTATTTACAAACACATAGACAACAATGAACAATACAATAAGACATCAATGAACGAGAAATGCATAAAGTTTGGACAATGGATAACGTACACGCGTGAGCGAGTTAGAGAGAGAGGAAAGGGGATGGGGAGAGAGAGAACAGAGAAATTGGGAGAATTTCATTGGCAGGAAGACATTCACCTCTCCGATTACAACACGGAACATCATCTTAAAACTTCTTAGAAGCTCTATAAAGAGATTTATACTTGCAATCAACGTATGTTATGGTTTCTCTCTGTGCCGAAACATTTCTGTACGGCCCTGTCTGGCCGCGTGAGCTGAGTCCTTTGGGTGTGAGGAAGCGTCACGTGGGCTGCGTGGCGCGCGTGTTGAACGGAGGTTTACAGTCTTTGTTGTAACATTTCCAAAGGGAAATAGTTCGGCTAAGTTCGTTTCACTTCGTGGAAGTGAACTGAGTCGGCTACGGAAAACAAAACTTTGACTAACAAAAAGGGAATAAAGATCTCTACGGGGAAATCACGCGGAGTTAACGTTGCATCTTTCCATGGCTTTTGAAGAAGCGTGTGTGTCTCTCGGTCCGGCGCGTCACGTGGTCACGTGCGCGTGTTTCTCCTTCAAAGAGAGCGCGCGCTCGTTTAAAGGTCCCTGGTAGATGGATTTGCTGAAGAGATATGTCACGGTCACGGGGTTTCCTTTTCAATCGTCGATTGGAATTAAACACAGAGACTTATCTACAAATGAAAAACACAACTAAACTAGAAACAAATAAAAGAAAGGCGAAGAGCTCGCCCGGAGGCGAGACGTTACATCATGACACGGGAGGAAGAGAGCGAGCTCAGAGGAGAAGCGTCATTTATCACACTATGAGAAATCCAGCCTCTTCCTGTTGGCTTGGCCAATTAGAGGGTTGGAAGTTTACAGGCGGGACTTTGGGTTTATGGCCCTTTGTCTCCAGAGAGAGACATCTGAAACCCTAATCTCGTCGGTTGTTTAAGAGAAGAATCTTCACAATTCTTATAATACTAATGTGTCACAAAGTTTAGCAAAATGTAATGTCAATTAACAAATGGGGAACGAAGATTGGAGTTTATCGAGACCAAACTTGCCACCAATGGATTTGGTTAAACATTAGTTGGCAAAGTTTGAACATTATCCAATTAAGAGTTGTCGAGAAACATAGACCAAACCACAGAAAGGCAACTCATGAAATAGGGAACTTAGATACGTCGTTCATACAATTCTCAAGTGGATATATAATAGCATATATATATGAATACAGGATTCATTTCTCCTCCTTGGTTAGAATTCAGAGAGAGAGAGAGACAGACATACTTCTCTGACATTCCTGGTGCGGTCGTAAATGCTGTTATCTAAGGCCCCAGGCTCTGACAGCATGTTAAGTTTTGGTTCTTACTGTCCCCAAAAGCTGGT